GGAATTTTAATGATTATTTTATCTAAAGAAATTTTTCAAACTAAGTTGCATTCGTTTGCGATATCAGGAAGTTCTTAAAAAAAAAAAGATATGTTGATGTCTTCAGGTGAAAATGGAGTTGTTTTTTAGTAATGATTTATTAAGAAGTATTAAATAATCGATAAAGAATAATCAAGGCATATGCTAATCCGAAAAAGTTCTTATAGATATTTTATTTTTTAAAAAAATTTTCAATGTAAATTTATAGAATCATATTCATAAATTATAAATTAAAAGATTTAAAAAACGGACACGTTTTTTCGTGGATAACACATTTCTTGGATCCATACTTCAAAAAAAAAAATGTGAGTTTCAATATAAAAATTTACATTTTAAAACCAAAAAAACATTCGAGTTAAAATTTTATTTTAAAAAATAATTTAAAAATCAATTACTAAATTCTATCTTGAGGATGGAATGGAATTAATATTTTTTATTTTAATTTCAAAAAACTGAAAAAAATATTTTACAATCAATTTTTTTTTTTTTTATATATTATATATATATATATATATATATATATATATATATATATATATATATATATATTTTAGAATAATTTAAATAAATTCCAAGTTTTTCATTAGTTTCAGTCGTTGGAAATTAATTCTAAATTTTTACAAAAAAAGTTAAGCAATGTTAACAAAAAATGGAGGAGTTTCTTCTGGGCATCGTTAAATTTAACAAACTGTTTCTTGTTTAGAACTAACAACCAATCTATTTCTGAGATTAAATTTATAAAGCAAATTATCTTTATCAGACTTTACGATTAAGACAAAAAAAAAATAGTTATATCATCTTTCAATATCGAGTTGAGATTCTTTGGTTTTTATCAAGAATATATTTTTTCTAAGCAGGGCTGGATTAAATTAAAAGCAATATTCAAGGGCATCAAAATTTCAAATCTCACTGAAATTTTAAATATTGAGATAATGAAAAGATAAATAAATAATTTAACATGATTAACATTTGAATTATCAAATAACATATTATTAACGAGGAACAAAATATTGATTTTGTATCTTTATTTCATTCTGATTGGTTAATGAGGGAATGTATTCAAATAAAAAGATAATGATTTTTTTTATTAAATTTCGATTTCATCACATCAGCTCTCTTGAATAAGTTAATAATATTAATTAACTTTTTGGGGTTTTTAAATTTTGTGAACATTTTAGACTAACATTTTCGTTTGACATTATTCTAACCATATGTTTATGTGACACGCTTTCATTGATTACATAATAAATTCTTATCACAAGTTCTCTTGGAATCTAAATTTTTTGTTCATGTGATCCAGAAACATTTCAGCTGTGATGAAGTTCTTTCTTGGTTGATGTTGTTCTGGGTTGAAAACTGATGATCAGCCTCTTTTGGTGGTCAAAAATATGCAAACCCATTTCCTTCTATATTTATTTCAATAAAGCGTTTCCACATTGCGGGTTCTCATTGAGATCCTTAATTTGCACTCTTTACAAATTTCACATACTACATACTTAAACTCGTAGATCAAATATGTGGGGTTCTTAAAATCTTTTAAGTCATTTTTTGTCATTCATATGGGTGTCCACGCTTTGACCATTTAATAAGATAATTTCAACCCTGCATTAATATCTGTTCTTATATTATAATTATATATATTTATATATATATATGGAATATATATATATATATATATATATAAATATATAAGATTTAATCACCAGGACAACGTTAACATCTGAATATTCAGTGCATGGGCGATTTTTGTTTTAGAAAAAAAAAGTATGTATCTAATATATTTCCTGGTTTCTGAAAATCATTTACTTATGAATAAAAAAGTGAACTGACTATCCTTTTTTTTTTTTGTTTGATTTTTTAATCATTCCACTTCATGTTATTGAAAACATTAAACTGTTCATGTGCAATTAGTGTCAAAAATGGAGGTTAGAATCAGCCATACTGATGAAAGGTATTAATGGTTCCCTCGGATGATTTACAGAGAGTTTATTTTGGAACATTATAATTAAATCATTTTTCTTCTCCCCAGTTAACAACAGAATGTACATCATTTTTTAATGTGTTCAATTGAAATATCTTTTGTTTGTTATTAAGACAGGAAAATAGTTTTTTTTATCAGAATAGATACCGAGTTTAACCTTTTATAATGACATCAGAGATTTTTGATGACAATTATAACAAAATTGTTTCCAAATTTAGAAAAACTGGGGTTTTTATTTTTTTTTTTTTTAATGTAGTTTAAAGATCTAAACAGACCTGTTACTGAAGACAAATTTCCCTTCATTATTTTATAAAAACTGAATCGGTAAAAAAAAAAATATTTTTGTTACATAACCTTTCAACTAAAATTTTTTAGACCAGTATGTCAGTTTAAGCTTCAAACAGATTCTTATCTTAAAAGATTTAAGGCTATTTTTTTTTTAATTTGTAAACACATCAGCAGTTGACATAGAAATCAATTTAAATTCTTTTGGATGATCCAATAATTGACTGTAAATGTGATTTTTTTTTTTCAGAAAAAGATTGGTTATTCTTTTAATTTCATTTGAAAAGTATAAGGCTAATAGGATAATAATTAAAAGGATCAGATGATTAACCAAATTTTAAAAAAGAAAACTATTTTTTGGATGATTTCAACAAGCAGTTTTATATTTTTTTTTCGAGTTTTTAGAAAAAAAATATTCACTTCAAAATGATGTTTTTAACCATAAACATGGGTATATAGTAAATGTAAGCGCAAATTTTCTTATATTTAATTACAATTTTATAATTTATACCTGATTTTTTACCTAAATAAATTTTTTCAAATCCCATTAATGCTAACTTTTTAGTACAAATTTTTTCAGTGCCTGCATGTAAAATATTTCAAATAAAGATTTATATTTAATTTTATTTTGTTTTGATATTTTTCAAAATCGGCTGCTGATATACCGATGGTTAGTTAAATAAAAATTTTTCTTTAATTAATTATTTTTATGTTCTAGGGTTAAAGACTTTGTAGTGATGCCATCAAGTCCACATGCTTTGTCAGGATCCATTTTTTTTTTTTTTGATTTTTTGTTTGCACTTTTTCTATGATATACCGATGGTTATTAGTAGGTTGTATTTTTAATTGATGGTTAGTGTTCTTTATTTAAAGACTATTGTAGTGATGCCATCAATTCCACATGCTTTGTCAGGATCCATTTTGAGATTTATTTAATCCTACTATAAATACATTTTATATATTTCTGCTGAATATCCTACTTTTAAATAATAGTTACATTATTTAAAAAAATTTTATGTAATTATCCATGAATATTTCTCTCAATATCTTCCACCACTTCAATAGATCTTGCATCTCTAAATTTTAATCCTGCTTTCATGATTGTTTTTTGACAAAGGAAGGTCCAAGGATATTAAATAAAGGGTTGAATTTCAAATTGAACATCATTTCTTTAATGTCTTCAAGACTATCTGTAAGAATATCGCATTTTTTGAATAGGGACTCACTCAAAATCTCTCATTTACGAGTAAAAACTGCTTTATTAGAGATCTCAACATCTCAAAGTGAGTTTTTATTTATATCCTGCTTTCACTTTCAACACACGTTTTGTCACCAGTTTCTGAAAGGCAAAGTTGTACTATAAAATTTTCTTTTAAACAAAACTTATTATTTTAAACACAAATACTTTTTTAATCTATGGGAAGAAGATGATTTCTCTCATTCACAAAGACTGCCTATAGATCTCATTTTGTTTTTAATTAATTTTGTCTTGTTTAGAGAGAAAAGTTTCACTTCAAAAGCATATTTCTTAACCATCTGCATGGAGTATATAGACTTGCATATTTTCCCTAAAACAATTGAAATTTTCAATTGAACTCTTTATTTTCTTTCCTAAATAATATGCTTTTTTCCTATTAATGCTAACCAAAGTACAAATTTTCATCTTGTTTTTATTTCAAATAAAAATTTATATTTAATTTTATTTTTTTGATATTTTCATATCGGCCCATGATATACCTTTTTCGTGTATCTGACAGAGTAAATTTAATTAATGGTTAATTGTCCTAGGGTTAAAACTATTGTGTTTTGTATTAACCATCATCCACATGCTTTGTCAGAACACTAACCCTGGGTATATAGTTACCCAGAGCAAATTTTCTATTTTTTTTAATTACAATTTTCAGTACCTGATTTTCTTATTTAAATAATGTTTTTCAGTTCCTATTAATGTTAAATCAAAGTACAAAGTTTGAAGTGCCTGCATGTAAAATATTTCAAATAAATTCTAGTTTCATAATTAAATTGCTTTATCAATAGTTGTTAACACCTCAATGTGAATGAAGAGATTAGAAGACTTACGCTTATTCAACACACGATTACAGTGTCACAAGTAATCCCGAAAGCCAAAGTTGTAAGAGGTTATACGGTGCCAATTTCTATCAACAAACCAAACTTATTACGAGTCGACACAAATACGCGTCTACTTTGATCCTAACTATATCGCTGGTACACAGGGAAAAATGATTCATGTGGACGATGGCTGAATAGGCCTGTGTGAAATAAGAAAAAGATTGTGGTTTCACCTGCCATTTCCGAAAAAAAAAATACAAAAGCATCTATGTCAGCTTTAACCCCCGTGGCGCAATTCTCAATAAGAAGGTTAAGAACATCAATCCAAAGGGCCTCACGAATAAAATCACGGAATAAATCCCAATCTGTACGCTCGTAACAGAAAGAAGGGTTAGGAGGTTCTTTTCTAGTAGACAACTCAAAATAAATACCAAGTGATACTACTGCGGGATCCGAATTTCTAGGAGAACAGATTTGTAATGCTCGACAAGAGCTATTTGAGGCGGTAAAGAACAAATTAAGAAGCATGTTGTCAAGATTTATTAGGGAAACAAGTTGGGAAATCCACTATTTGAGAAAACAAAACAATGAAACCAAAACAAAAAACAGTACACGCAAGAGAGACATGTATTTTTTATTCGCCTTTAATTCAATCAAAATCAAATCATCCGACGTGTTTTATTCAATTTTTCTCCCTTATTTCGTCATTTGCCAAAAAAGTTTTGATGTGTTTCTGCCCTTTTATGTAATTCTTCTTTTTCTTTTCTCCACTCTCCTATTTCCTTTTCTTTCTCTTTTTCTTACCTTTCTTTTTCCTTCCATCTATCTTTTCTCCCCACACTCCTATTTTTTATTTCTTCTTTCGCTTCTTCTCAACTCTCCAATTTTCGTTTTTTTTTTCTTTTCCTTTTTCCGCCTCACACTTCTATTTTAATTCCTTCTTTTCCTTGTGCATCTTTTTCTTCTCCTTCTTTCTTTTTCTCCTCTCTCTTCTGTTTTAATTTTTTCTTCTTTCTCTTTTTCTTACCCTACTTTTCCCTTTCTTTCTCTTCTTCTCACTCTTCAATTTGCATTTCTTCTGTTTCATTTATTGTCCTTTTTCCCCACTCTTCTTCTGCTGTCTATCTTCCTCGTTTTTGAATTTCCTCATCTTTCTTCTTCTTCTTCTTCTTCTTCTTCTTCTTCTTCTTTTCGACCGACTTTCTCTATTATAATTTATTATTTTCCTTTTCCTCTTTTTCTCCTTATTTCTTCTTTCTTTCTTTTTTCCTCACTCTCCTATTTTCATTTCTTCTTCCTCTTTTTCTTATCCTTCTTTTCCTCCATTTCGTAGTCTTTTTCTTCCCCTTACCCTCATATATTCATTTCTTCTTCTTTTCCTTGTCCTTCTCTTTCGTCCCTTCTTCTTTTTATATTTTCCTCATTTTTTATTTTTCTTCTTTTTTCTTTTCCCCTTCTTTTTCCCTCTTCTTCTTCTTCTTCTTCTTCTTCTTCTTCTTTTCGCTCCACTTTCCTATTTTCATTCCTTCTTTTCCTTATTCTTCTTTTTCTCCTTACTTCTTTCTTTTTTCCTCACTCCCATATTTTCATTGCCTTTCTTTCTTTCTTTCTTTCTTTCTTTCTTTCTTTCTTTCTTCTTCTTCTTCTTCTTCTTCTGTATTCTTCTTCTTCTTTCTTCTTTTCTTTTCTTTTCTTTTTGTACTTTCTTTTCTCCTCACTAACTCCTATTTTTAATTTCTTTTTCTTTCTCTTTTTCTCTTCCTTCTTTCTCCATTTTTTCCTTCTTCTTCTTTCTTTCCTTCCTATTTTCATTTCCTTTTTCATTTCAACTTCCTCCTTTTTTTTCTTTTTTCTTATCCTTCTTTGATTTTTTGACTGTTTTCCATTTCTTTCTCTCCTCTATTTACTTATCCTTAACCCTGATGCTAAACTGACAGTTTAGACATTTCTGAACGCGTTTGGGACCATGTATGGCATCCAAGTTTACTTTAGCTCTTCTTAAATACCCATGTCAGATCCAGTCTCTCATAAGGATATCCTTCATGAAGCCAAATCGCTCCTAATATCTGAGCTTAAAAATGTCTCTGAGCGAGTGTAGCCTGGGGGTCTTGGTATAAACCATTCTTCATTGAACATTATAGACTTGCGCTACAGAATCAAAACAAAGAACTGTGCCTTAAGAAAAACTACACTTTTTGGTGTCTACCGCCAATAGCAACAACTAAAATGGATAGCACATGATACTCCAAGAGAAAATAATAACATAATCAAGATGTTGATGTTATATACTACTTCAAGTAAGAAGGTAAGGATTGAAAACCCCATTGATACTGGATAGAGCAGTAACGGCTACTGAACTTGGGAAACCATTTTTCCTGAAATATTAAGAGAAAGATTTTATAAATTCCAACCGAAAACAAAGATAGCTGCTCGGTCAACGAATGCCAAATGTTTCCTCATAAGGAAACGGCTAATATTACAATTACAATTACTCGCGTTGTCCTACACGCATTATAACTGCTCGAAAAGATTGGCCCACGTTGACTGAAGGATGCGATGAGTAAAGAGTCGCCATTTTAGATTTTTAATTTCGCGCAGGCGCGTTGTTTCTTTTTGAGTTTGTCGACTGCTCAGTATAGTAGGGCGCCGTCTGTAAGAAAACGAGCATTATTACGCTATTTATTAAGCCAGAAATTTTGAAACGGTTTGTCTTACTGGTTGGCATTCGCGCCGGAATATCCAACACGAACATTACAGAGTATCTGGGCGTCAATATTAGGACAGTGCAAAGGATTTGGAAAGAGTTGGATGAGTCTAATGGTGATTAAGAAGGTACAGCAGCACGGAAAACTCGAACTTTGAATCGTTCTGATAAGAAAACAACACCCGAATTTGTTAGTGAGGGCTTCAGACTCAATACGGATGTCTACATCAGGTGCCTTGACAAGATAGTGCTACCCTAGGTCAAGAGGGTGACTGCTGGAAGATGCTATGCCTGGCAACATGACTCTTCACAATTCCACACAAGCAGGAGAACCCCATCATGGCTGTCAGACAATTTCAGTTACCACAACACCGCTTACATCTTGCCACCTAATTCTCCAGACTGCAACCCACATGATTATTATGTGTGGGGAGCATTTGAGAGAGAGAAAGACCAATAAAACTCCTTGTGGCACCAAAGATGAACTGAAGGCAACATTCACCAACTTCTACAAAGAGACCGCCCATAAGAGTTGCGGGAGATTCCGAAGTCGCTTGCAATCCGTGGTTGGAGCCAACGGCGATTTTATTAAATAAATTTACACTTTAATATTTCAAGTTATTTCTCGTGTCATTTTGGTAAATACATTTGTTAAAATGAGATTTCAGTTTTATTTTCATTTCTGCGTAATTTATACGGCATTTCATCCAGCACTCCAAACATATATATACATACATACATACATACATACATATATATATATATATATATATATATATATATATATATATATATATATATATTAAAATACTGTTAATCCATAGAGTGAAGTGATCCTCGTCTATAAAATTGATGTCTGTTGTTTCCAGTTTATGTGTTCTTAAAATGCTAGTACTTACGAATAGTCCTCTATTCATCATCAGGCATGTTATTTTTTCGTTATAAAATCAAAAACTTGAAGACGAAATAACTGTTTGTCGACCGAAAGATGTTTTTTGAATATCTGCTATTATTGACGGTTGTGAAAGATCTCGGAACGTGCAAAGAGGCAACGCTAGGTTTTTCAAAATTTTAAGTGAGAATTTTATTTAAATATTTCTTGTGATGTGTTAAATCCACGTATTCTATTTTTACAAGTGTATTCAGTTTTTATGTCATGAACTAAGCATAGATTTCAATAATATAGTGTAATGTCATAGTAGTAGTTTTTATTTTATAGGAATTTTCATGTACTGCGGATTCGATAGTTTTTTATAAACATAAAACATTAGGCAGCATATAATTTACATACAAAGAAATAATCACACATAGAATCCGGCGGTTTCGACGTATGAGGATCTGACAGCTTATTGCTTCAGTTATGAAATTTTGTGCAATAATCTTAAGTGGCATTTAAGACCGGCTAGTGATTTACAAAGAAGTCCACATATGGAGCAAGTGTGAGGATTGTGAGATCAGATCACTGTTAGATTGGCTGACCTTTTAGATCTTGCTCTCGCTTCTTGAAGATGATTCAGACAAGCAGATTGAAAATCCACTAAAACCCGTTGATCTTCATTCTACCCGCTCTAAGGCTAAGCGCTCAATATATATATATATATATATATATATATATATATATATATATATATATATTATAAGCGTATTTTTATACATATTATAAAATTAAAAATAGTAAGTGATAATACCATTGCATATATGCTGTATCTCTGTTGTTGGGAAGCTTGTTTAGACCAAGTTAATCACCATTTGGCCTTCCTTCACTTAAATGGTAAGTATTATATCTTACAGATGGTTAGATGAGGCCAAGAATAAAGTTTGAGTAACGCTGTCCGAATGAACAGGTTAAGTTTCTAGTGAGCAGAGAAAAGATCTCTTGGGAAATGATTTCAAAAAGCAGTGAGAAGAAGCTGTTGAAGTGGATCTTGACATCTCTAGAATGGTTCGCCACAATCTGCGTATCATGGCGGTTCTTAGCCGCGAAGCTTATAAAATTAAGGAACTAAGGAATGGAGTTCCTTTGAACGGTTTCCAAGGAAATAGAGCCAAAGAGGCTTGCGAAGTTTCGACTGTGAGAAAACTGGTTGTAGGGTAGGAAATAACTCATCACTCACAAGGACACGGAAACGATTTTGGACTCCGTCAAGACTGGAAATTGAAAACTGGGCAGCTCCTGTCCGTATATGACAGCAGTACTCCATTAAAAAAAAAAATACCTAATAGTTGCAAAAATGAAACCCTGCATAGCAACTTTATTTGATCATAATTTCTGTTTTATTTTTAAGTTCTTTTTATTCTCTATTCCCATTTATTTTAGGATTGTCTTTTTTAAATAAACAATATCAGCTTTCTATATTCTATTCTAGCCAATCGTTTTCATATTCTTTCATTCCTTTATTCTTTACTTCTCATATTGGAACATTCCTCGATATCTTTGTGACCCTCGTCCAATTTTCCTTTGTCAACACACGTATGTATACACCCCACTTCGGCCCAACTATGTGTCTGTGTGTGTATTTGCATGAGTATGCATGTGTGCATGAGATAGAGATTGAAAAAGTGAGACAGTCTCTCTCAATGTCTGTGTGTTTGGTCTTGTGTGTGTGTGTGTGTGTTGGTAGGTGTCGTCTGTTTTAATACGTGTTATTACTTGGATTTCTCCATTCTGTCCACAGACGATATATTTGCCTTCTTAATTGAGGCGTCGTATTTAATATCCGCTGTTCAAAATGAAAAACAAGCAGAGAGAATTGAGTGCGTCTCGTTTCGTTTCGTCTCGTTTCGTCTCGTTTCGTCTCGTTCTCATTTTGTAAAGACGACATCGAGAAAGAATCGAAAAAAAAGATAGCCGGGCGGTAAAATGAAGGAGAATTTAAGAAAACAAAAAGTTTTCTAAAAAAAAAAGAAAATAGTAAAAAAGAAATTCATTTACTGACTGAATGAATGAATAATTTGATTGATGGAAAGAAAATAAAGATAAAAATGAAGACAGAGATAGATAAAGAAAAAGAAAAGAAAGAAAGAAAGAAAGAAATAATGAAAAAGAAGAAAGAAATAAAGAAAGAAGAAAGAAAGAATAGACTATAGATTATATTGATAAGGAAAGAATATGGCGATAGATAGATAGATAGATAGATAGATAGATAGATAGATAGATAGATAGAATGAAAGAGCTATTGCAGTAAAGAAATAAGAAAAGCAAAGAAAGAAAGAAAGAAAGAAAGAAAGAAGAAAGAAAGAATAGACTATAGATTATATTGATAAGGAAAGAATATAGCGATAGATAGATAGATAGATAGATAGATAGATAGATAGATAGATAGATAGATAGATAGAATGAAAGAGCTATTGCAGTAAAGAAATAAGAAAAGCAAAGAAAGAAAGAAAGAAAGAAAAAGAAGAAAGAAAGAATAGACTATAGATTATATTGATAAGGAAAAGAATATAAAGATAGATAGATAGATAGATAGATAGATAGATAGATAGATAATAATAGATAGATAGAATGAAAAGAACTATTGCAGTAAAAGAAATAAGAAAAGCAAAGAAAAATATTTAAGAAAGAAAAAATAAAGAAAGAAGAAAGAAAAAAGAATAGACTATAGATTATATTGATAAAGGAAAAGGAAAGAATATAGCGATATAGATAATTAATAGATAGATAGATAGATAGATAGATAGATAGATAGAATGAAAGAGCTATTGCAGTAAAGAAATAAGAAAAGCAAAGAAAGAAAGAAAGAATAGAATATAGAATACATTGATAAGGAAAGACGATGGAGATAGATAGATAGATAGATAGATAGATAGATAGATAGAATGAAAGAACTATTGCAGTAAAGAAAAGAAAAGAAAAAGAAAGAAAGAAAGAAAGAAAGAAAGAAAAGGTACTGAAGTAAATAAATATGAAAGATAATGATGGAAAGGAAGATAGAAAGAAAGAAGGAAAGAGTAAAAGAAAGCAATGAATGGATAACTTGATTTTTGAGTAAAAAAAGTGAAAATGAAGTTAGAATACAGAAAAGAAAAAAAGAAAGGGAAAAAGGAAGAATAAATAAATAAGAACGGAGAAGAAAGAAAGAAAAAGAAAGAAAGAAAGAAAGAAAGAAAGAAAGAAAGAAAGAAAAAAAGAAAAAAAGAAAGAAGATATTACAAAAATGGCGGAGTGGTTAAAGAATGAAAGAATAAAAGAGAGAGGTGGACGCTATTGACAGAAGGGGGAGAAATATAGAGAAGGGAAGAGAAGAAAAATAATACAGAGGAAATCATAGTGTGTGTGTGAGAAAGAGAGAGTGAAAAAAGAGAGAGACAGATGATTAAAATATGGCTATAAATAGAAAGCAGAGAGAACGTTAGAGAACGGCGAACACACACACACATACACACAGAGAGAGAGAGAGAGAGAGAAAGAGAGAGTCTTGCAAAGAGAGATAACTAAACGGAGAAAGAGGAAGAAAACTCATAGAAAGAAACAGAAGTGAACGGAAAGGAAGAGAGTGAGAGAGACTCTTTAAAAGAGAATAAAAGCTACAGGAAGAAATGAAGAAAAATTGAAGCTAGACAGCTAAAGTCAGAAAATGAGAAGGCAAATAATGAGACTGACGAACGTGAGAAACAAAAAGAAAAAGACAGGGAGACGGGAAAAAAAAAATATATAAATCGGGGGGAAAAAAAAAAGAGGAACGCAAAGAAATAGATATGGAAAAAAGAGAAAGAAAGAATATAGAGAGACAACTTCCAGCCAACGTTAATCTGCAAAAATTTAAATGCAATGTCAATCGCTACCTACTATCCTCCTGATTACTTTTTTTCTTTCTCTTCACGCTCATTACTAACGTTTCTCTTTCTAATTCCTCCACACACTGTAACCCGTTGCACGTTAATATATACTTCCTTGAAAGGGTGATAAATATTTAAAAAAAAATAACGAAACAGGGAATGAGAGAGAATAAACAGGGTGAAAAAAGTGTGTATCCAGACAGATTTAAAGAATTTTAGAACCGATATACAATAATAGACAATTTGCATGATATCGAACCACTGACTACAAACGGTTTGAACAACAACAACAACAAAAAAAAAAAAGCTCATTGAAAATTGGTTGGAATTTATTTTTTTTAATTCTGTCGAATGATTGCTGGATTGCCTCAAACGAATCAGGCGTTGATGCTTCAGTACATAATCGGCAACTTTAGCTTTAAAAAGTAAGTAAAATAAAATAATGATAAAATTTAAAAAAAAATAGCATATGTAAAAATAGCATTTCACTAGTGAAGGACACATTATCATAATACGAGGTCAAAGTTTATCCGCAGTTACGCCACAACATACCTTTAAGTATGTAAAAATACCTTCTGCCCATGCGTGCCTACAGTTGGTGCTGTTATGGTCACGTGATGGAGGTTTGAGGTTTTCTTGATGATGTTACAGTGTAATCATGGCCGCTCGGCTAACAGTGTGCACCAAAGAGGACAAAAGAGAAAAGTGATACTATTTCTCTGGTGGGAAAGTGTGTCAGGGGCTGAAATCCATCGTAACGTTTTAACACCAGCGACAGTGCACTTCCGCGCAGATGTGCGTATGTGATCATCAAGAAGTTTAAAAGTGGCCGGACGAGCGTAATGCCCGAAGAAGGAGCAGGAGGCCCGTTAACATGCAACACTGACGAGAAGATTCAGCAAGCTCGATAGATGGTAATGGCGAACCGGCTAGTGATCAGTAGCATGTTCTCTGCAGATATGGACCATCGCTCTTTGATCATTGATGGGTGCACACTGCTAGCGATGCGGCCATGTTTGCACTGTAACATCAGCAAGAAAACTGGCATGATTAAGCTTAAACGACTATAAGAACCCTCCTATATTGCTTCGGTGCGAACCCATTTCTCGTTTTTGATTCTGACTTGACAAAGACATCAAACATATTTTAAAGACTATACTGAGAATGGTTCAAGGGCAATAATTTTAGAGCAAAAATAGATTTCTCAATCGCCAAACCAGAATCGTAAGTTAGTTGTATGAGTTTAAAACTGCTGTTTATAAACGTAAGCCATCGATTCCGAATTGTTTGGGACGTTTCCTTATTGAACAATGGACGAAACCTTAAAGAAAGCTCCAGATCTTTTTTCTTTCTTTTTTTTTATTCATTTCGCCCTAAGTAGGGCGGTGATGCCACTAGTAGGGTTTACAGATTGTGAAAGTGAGAGGAAAATTTGGGTATAGTCGGGATTGAGGAAAAGATAAAAGATGAACGGGGCTTAAAACGACAGAAGATGGCGATTGACGATTTAAAATTTTTGAAGATTTTAGTTTTCAGGGAAGCAAGTAAACGGAAGGGAGTTTCACAAGTGGGAAGTGCGATAAATGGAACTGTTGGAGTAGTGTCGGTTACATTTATCTATTTCAACAGTAAATAGGTGGGACCTAGTTGACAATCTAGTAGCACGCTTAAATTCATGTAGTCAGGACACCAGGGGGGGGGAAACCTCGTCAGAGCAGTTGCCATGAAAATATTTGTATAAAGGACAGAAGGAAGCTAAATCAAGTCTGTGATAAAGCGATTGAAACCTAGATCCCAAGTCAGGATATCGATTACATTGCAGACCATTCTTTGTATTTTGTCAAGAACCTCGATACGAATAGCAGAAGTACCTGACCAGATATTGCAACGGTATTCAATGCAAGTGTAAATGGTAGATTTTCAAATGTGCAAGATGGAATCTAATGAGAAAAACTTTCTGGGACTACACAATGAATCAACTTTTCTTGCAGTGGATGTAGCTATTGATTCAATGTAGTATTTCACTTCAATGCAGTTGAAAACTTGAGGCCAAGAAGGCGCAAAGAGAAGTTCTCTCGAGTCAAGCATCAGCTATGCTGATAGCCGACAGTTTCGTTTTGACAGCATTAAAACTTACAAGCTATTTTCTGTCCCAGTTAACCACTGATTGGAAGAAGTTTTAAAGAGTAACGGCCAGGTTAACTTTGTAAGCTCTCCATGGATTTGATATGAAGACAGGAGTAAATAGTAGTGTCAGTTGCATACATATCTATTTGGGAACTCATGACGTCAGGGGCGATCATTGATGAGGATCAGAAACACTGTAGGATCCAGGAAAGGACTTGGGGGACAGCCGCGTTCGTCTTAAAGGATCTGGAAACGATCCCGCTGAAAACGACCTTCATTTTCCCGATTTGGTAGGAATGATTGGATTAAATCAAACAATCGTTCTGTAATACCGTGACCATGAAACTTACGTAGAAGACCAGCATCAAAAACCCTGTCAAACGTCTTCGAGATATCTAGAGCCACAGTTCGAGCTTTGCATTTTTATTATCAAGAACTTGATATGCATATTCAGCGGTAGCTGTAAGCACTTCAGCGGGAGAAACGGAACCCATATAGTTTGTCAGAAAATGCATCGGTGCCAATATGAATACCCCTATTTCGGTAGCTTCTCTACCCCAGTTCTATAGATACATACCTGATGAAACTTCCACTATGGTACCTAGACTTTATGAATTTAATCACAGTACTAGATGGGCGGCAAGTGCTTTTTACAGTCGAAATGGCTAGATATAACCGCAAGTTCTGTGCTAACAGTTTCTTCTCCCTCATTTCTCGTTTTTGGAAGTCTCTTACTGCTTCCAGTCCAGTTTAATACTCATACGTTTAAATGCAATACCAATCGTTATCATCTTAATTTTTGTTCTTTTATTTTCCTCTCTCCTTAATAGCAGATTTTTTTTCTAATATTCTGTCGCATTCAGTAACCTCTTACGTCGTAGTGGCTTTATTGCCTTACATGTGGGTTAAATGGTTAAAAAAAATGACGAAGCCAAAGTTAATATTTCAGTACATGGCCCAAAAATTTAACTTTGACAAATTATGTCAGAAGATTCGAAATATAAACAAAAACTTCAAATCCCCACCCCAAAAAGTAATTGGTACTTGTTTGGTGCAAGACAATTGACGTTTCCGTAATAAAAATTAGAACATTAGATGACAGAAGATGATAATTGGCATTGCATTTAAATCTTTGAAAATCGTAGTTTATAGGAAAATGGCAAGCTGGAAGAGAGTTCCAGAAGGAAGTAGTGAAAAAGAAGAAACAATCAACATGGAACTTACAGTTAAAACAACAATTACGATAGTGACATTGCGAACTAGCTGCCAATCCAGTACTGCGCTTAAATTCAAGAAGGAAAGCTCATCATAACACTTAGCTTGAAAATCATTACAGAAGCTATGTTGTGGCCGTTGGAAAGGGATTGTAACCAAGAAGCCACGTCAGGTAACGTTGACGTGGACTATTCTTCTTTGCAATTTGTCAAGAATCTCTTGACACATAGCAGACGAACCAGAGGAGAGTAACTCGTCTCATTTCAAGTGTGATGTCCTCCAAAGACGTGGGCGATCATAGCTCTCACAAATTCCGATTTAAGCTGTTTATATCTTTACCATATTTCTAATCACTGTTCTGTTTTCCATAAACCTGTCTTTTTTCCAAACCCTCTTGTCTTCAGTATATTCTATAATATATATATATATATATATATATATATATATATATATATATATATATATATATATAGTTAAAAGAACTTGGTATATATATATATAGTTATGAAGAACTTGGTAAACCGAATTGGTAAATCCAAGGAGGCTGAAATCCTGAGAGCTCAATGTGAAGAACAGAGCCAATATTTAATGAACAACAGACACTTTAAGGTACCATAACAATAATTTATTTCACCAAAATCCTTTTTAAAGGATTCCGGATCATCAGGTAACATTTCCAACAATGAAATGAGAGGGAAAATGGGATTAGAAATTGATGGGTAGTGTAATTTTTGTAATTAAACAGGGAGGTTGAAAGTGGCAGTTAAAGAGACAATACAAAATATAGGGAGGGTTAAATTTATATCTCTATTAAATAAGCTTTATATTGGGGTGGTGAAATAAATTATTGTCTGTTTTTCATTATATATATATAATGAAAAACAGACCACTTTAAGGTACCATTACATATATATATATATATATATATATATAATCGACTCTCCCGTCGAGATTCGACGTATGAGGGTCAAGCAGATCAGTTTCCAGGAAACCGACAGCCCGACACCGGCACATGAGATTTGATTATAGTGGTGAAGGCTTCGTGCTGGACCATCCACACTTTTTGAAGGGACGAATACAGAGACCTGGTGCACCGAATGCCACAAGGTTCCCCAACGACCCAGGTTTTGAATTCAGAGTTGTCCTTCTCCTAGACCAGTTGCCACCCAAGGCTATAGAACCCTGTCTGTCTTGCTATTTTACCCATAGCTGGAGGGAGAGAAAGAAGATTCATACCTTTCTCAAGGGTATTAGCACGTAAGTGAAAGTAATGGATTCGACTGGAATTCGAACTCGGCTCTGCGATTCCTCAATCCAAGCCGCTATCCATTACTCCACCGTGCTTTCTATATAAATATATATAATTTTTCCAAGCCTTTCTGTTCCAGAAATTTCTACTGCCCGTTTCTGAATTTTAAGACCGTTATTTCTAATATTTTTCTTAAAACATCCTAATTGTTTACATTTTCTGCCGATGATATGCTCAGCATCCTTCTGTGGTACCACATCGCCTTCTGTCATGAATACATTTCCGGTTCTGTTTTCGTCTAACGCATTTACAGATGACCCCTGTAATGTCTTGAGCTCGTCAACACAAGTTTATTTTTTTTTCTTTTCTGAACTTTGACCTATGTCTTACGCTGGCTCATCTTCAACTGCGTGAGATCTTTCTTTTTTTCTTTTCTCCCTTTTTTTTTTTTATTTCGGCGTTTTAAATACAATTATGCTCTTTCACTCGTTTCAAGCTGCGAAACAAATCCGCCTTGTCGTTCCTCCTCCATTTTATTTGTATTTTTTTTTCTCCTCTTTCTGGTCTAAATCTGTATACATAAGGATCGCAAAACTGAAGACAGACACGCCCGCGCATATACACACACACACGGGCGCGCGCACGCACACACATTTGCGATTTCTCGCTTCTATCCGTTACTCACGATGCACCAGTGGTAGCTGTTTGCAGCTAATGGAAAATCGGAATGTTTAGAACCGACATCTTGTTCCATCAACACTTATTGGAAATAATAACCACTTTGTAGTTTCAACCTACCTCATATTCTTTTGCTTTCTTTTCCCTTTTCTTTCTCCTTGTCTGTGCCTTTCTTCTTCTTCTTCTTCTTCTTCTTCTTCTTCTTCTTCTTCTTCTTTTCTTCTTTTTCTTCCTCTTCTTCTGATATTTCTTGTTCGGTCTTTATACTTTTCCTGTGTTTTTTATCTTCTTTTTTTTTCTTCTTCTTCCTCCTCCTTCTCCTCTTACCCCTCTTCTTCTTCTGATATTTCCTGTTCGGTCTTTATTCTTTTCCTGTGATTTTATCTTCTTCTTCTTCTTCTTCTTCTTCATCATCATCATCATCATCTTCTTCTTCTTCTTCTTCTTCTTCTTCTTCTTCTTCTTCTTCTTCTTCTTTTATTTCCTCTTCGGTCTTCCGCCTTTTTCTCTGTATTCTTTTTTATATTCTTTCCAGAAATTATTTCCCTCCTCCTTTTCTTCTTCTACTTCATTTTTTCTTCTTCTTTCTTTCGTCTTCTTCTTCTTTCCATTTTATCATTTCCTTTTCCTTCGTTTGTTTTTTTTTTTTTTGTAATACAATCGATTGTTAATGTCTATAAGTAGCTCTTGTTCTGAGTCCAATCCAATTTTTCTTTTCGTTCTATTTTGT